ATCAAATTTCACTTTTAGAATTGATATCGTCTAAATGTTTAGATTCACAACCACACTCCAGCTGCTTGGTTGTCTTATCGGAGACAGATAAAGATCATCTTATTCGTACCGTTAAATACAACTTCACTACCTGGTGAATGAGTCTTGTGGATATCAGTCGGGACTATCTCATATTTCTAATACTATAGTATGGAAGGCCTTATACCAGCATAGTATTAAGGCCTATTGAAAGGAATTTAAATTTATACTCAAGCCTGAAAATAAAATGATATGACTTGCCTATTGCAATGAAAGAAACTCATGGAGTATTAGAGATTGAGCCAACTATGACTTTACCAATGAAATGTCTATTGAAGTAAGAGGATTGTTTAGGTTAAATCTTGTATAGAGGGACAAGACTGAGCAATGACATAGCGACTGTGTGAGGGCAATAAAAAAACACAGTGCTTCAGTTATGTGCTGGGGTATGATTAGATGGGAATAGAAAGGCCTTTTTCATGTATAGGAATCTGAAACTAATGATGAAAATGAAGAAGCAGCAAAGACAATTGCTCTACTAGAAGCAGAAAGGTTTACTGAAGAAACTCAGCTAAATGAAGCTTGGAGGGCATCTGCGGGATGGGCACAGTTAAAAATTGTGGAGCAGCATGCATATAATGTAACCGGTACGGGTACTCGGTTATTGGTTTTGTTTTATGTTTTGTTTTAAGTATCGCTTTAATACTTGGTTTGTTTTAAGTATTGTTTGATACTTGGTTTTGTTTTATGTTTTGTTTTAAGTATCGCTTTGATACTTGGTTTGTTTTAAATATTGTTTGATACTTGGTTTTGTTTTATATTTTGTTTTAAGTATCGCTTTGATACTTGGTTTGTTTTAAGTATTGTTTGATACTTGGTTTTGTTTTATGTTTTGTTTTAAGTATCGCTTTGATACTTGGTTTGTTTTAAGTATTGTTTGATACTTGGTTTTGTTTTATGTTTTGTTTTAAGTATCACTTTGATACTTGGTTTGTTTTAAGTATTGTTTGATACTTGGTTTTGTTTTATGTTTTGTTTTAAGTATCGCTTTGATACTTGGTTTGTTTTAAGTATCGTTTGATACTTGGTTTTGTTTTATGTTTTGTTTTAAGTATCGCTTTAATACTTGGTTTGTTTTAAGTATCGTTTGATACTTGGTTTTGTTTTATGTTTTGTTTTAAGTATCGTTTTGATACTTAATTAGTTTCACCAAAGTGTACCGTTTGATACCTTTGATTAGTTTCGTTCATGATAGACATGAACAAAATTGTGTATTTAAAGACCGCCTGTTTCTATGATAGAAAAGGCAGACTTCGACAGACAGTATTTCAATATACTTGGTTGAACGGTTACTTCTTTGTTCCTCAGTACATCCTCAAAGCCTCCTTTAGTTCTCAGCTCTCGCCTCCTCTCTGGAAGAGCAGGCCACCTGCCAACTATCGTACCTTTTACCGATAACGTGATTAGCACCTTGCGAACACGTTACATATAAGATACAATGGCATTTGAAAAAGCATAAGGGAGTAGCAAAAAAGCAGGTACCACAGACCTGGTGGGCAAAAAAAATATAAAATAGAAAAATACAAGTAGGGTGATAGGAATGGGGTAGACTCCTGTTGGTATGTTAAGGCTGTTGTCCGGCCAATTCTATGGCCTGAATGTCACCGCAGACTCAAGCAAAATCTATTGTTTATATTAATAAAACATAATGTACACTCATACAGCTCTTATTATACAACAAGAGAGCGAGAAAAAGAAGGCATTCAGAAGGTAAATTGGCCTCCCAATTCACCTGATCTCAATACTATTGAGCACATATGGGCTCTTATGAAGAGTCATATTCAAACTTGACGAGGGGTTGAAAGGATTAAATCTGTATCTCAAATGAAGACCATCTTAACCGAAGAGTGGGATGGTATTTCAATTGAAGAAATTCATAAGGAAGTAGCTAAACTGCCTACTATCCTTGTTTGCTGTATTGCTGTTAATGGTAGTAACAATTTTTATGTAGTCTCCCGTTACCCCCCTACTCTCCTCCTTTCCCCCCCCTCTCGCCAACATCTTCTTTCTTATACTATTATTTTAGCCTCAAATTTTCCTATTATTTATTGTCTATTTTAATTTTCTTTCTATAAGCCTGCTTGACTAAATCTATTTCTCTTGGTCTTCTCAAATAGCTATATTGATGCTGTACTTTTAGATTTGTTTACAATTGCTTCCTTTAGAGCCCTCACAGATATACCATAAGCGATGTTTTTCCGCCAAGCTCTAAGTTACACAATAACCGTGTAACTCCTCTTTTCCCATTACGATGACTTAAAAAATTTTCTAGTACTCGCTATAAGGAATTCACCCTAAAACCTCGTTATAACGAACAAAACACCCCAACTCTTGGCGTTCTTTATAACGAGGTGCGACTGTACTAGTACGAGTACATGCAAATGTATAAACGGACCCTACCGTAGTGCCACACCATACCGGTACTTTTACCATGATTCCTGCCAACGCCTCATTGGGAAACGGTTGATAGTGTAACCAGCCCAACATCAAATGGTACAAGTGCAACCTCAAAGAAACATCTCGGATTTCCGCACTACAAAGTGATCTAGAGTACCGTAATTGTTTTCCTCGCCTAAGGAGAGCCACTGCGATCCTAGTGTTTTGCGAGCTGCGTAGTATGATGGGTAGAATGTCTTTTTTACGGGTATGTGGGCTAGGTCGACTCGGGGGCGAAAGACAATCTAAAAATGTTTGGTTTCGCACCTGAACACAAAGGTCCTGAACACAAAGGTAACAGGTACTCGAGTACACGTAACTTATGATAGCGGGGTTGGGCACGGGCCTGCTTGCTTACTCCATGGAGGGGTGTTCCCTGTACTCGCACAAGTAGGTAGCTTAATACCGGTAGGTACAACACCATACTCGTACAGGTACTGCCGATACCTAGGGATGATTATGCGAGGAGGCATTTTTCTTCCCGTCCAAGTTACTCGACTAGTCTAGCGGTAGATCGATTGGAGCCCTAAAGCTAGCAGAATACTAGTATTCGCTTAGCCACAAGTGCAATAATTAATCGGTTAAAAATGGTAGAAATAGCAATGCTTACCCTACTTAATGATTGCAAATATAATAGTTGGCATCGGCCGTGGTGATGAATGTCAACACCACCGTCGTCCCGCAACGGTAGAGATCCGGGATCAGGGAATTGCTTGGACTGTGTTCGAACTATGATAACGCTTGAGCTGGTGAGTTCTCTGCTGAGTTGTACCGGTACTAGTACAGTGCTGGCACGGTATCTTTTCCTGGGTGTCTCTTCCCCCCCAGCAAAAAGCCACTGAACTCGTAACTGCGCTACACAGAAGGCTCATGTCACTTGCAGGTTCATAATCGCGATAACTTAAGTCTACGATACCGTACTGTACGCGAGCCCGAGGCACCGACAACCCGCGCTCGTACAATATGCTGTGCTCGGAAAACCCTACCACAGCAAACATGCGAGCGTATCGGCCTGGCGATGTGGTGGTACATGTACTTCTCCACGATCGGGTGCGAGGAGAGAAAAAAAGAAAAGAAAACCACCAGCCCAGCCAGCCCCAGCCATCCACCACACATCATAGACGAGGAGAAACACTCGAGACTCATTTCGTCTGGCTTTTCGCACTTCAGTTCTGCAGTGTGCGCCCATTAGCGCTCCTCTCCCGTCCTTTCCTTGTATGGTTGTACCGCTTCAAGCTAGTACCCTATCAACCGTCTTCAGGCACCAGGGACAATATGATGACCTTGTTCACGTTCCAGGACCTGACTAGAAAAGTCAAGGACAGGCAAGGGCAGAAAATGGCATGACCGGATCTTGGTGTCCTTGCACTGTGTTCTTTATGGTTATACACAGTAAATTTACAACTAATGGAGAGATATTCGCCATCCTGAGTCGCAGACCAAGTAAGTCAGTGGCCTCTATCGTGATAGAGCAGCACGGTAAATATGAGGAAAATAATAGCTCGAATCCCAAAGTTTCCACAAGCACGCCCAAATATCTAGTTTTTTTTCAGGATCCTTTTCTCTCTCCATTTGCTTGGTGGAAGAGAAGGGAAAAATAATCGAAAGGATACTCCCACCGACTGTTCCAGCAATTCAATTCCGTCCTTCCTGGTACCGGTTTTGGTACCTACCCATATCACATCACACCCGTGCGTCACTCATCTCTCGCGCGAGCACACTTCACTCGATTTCGTAAGTGTAGGCTTTTTTCTTTTCCTGTCTCTCCTCCTCACCCTCAATCGGTTTTGTAGTCCTTTGTCTTCCTTGTTCCGCCCTCCTCCGCCCTCTTCTGTGCCTTTCCTTTTTTGTGGGAGAGAATTGACATGATAAAAGGGTGACCGTGCCCAGCGCCTTTGATTGACCCGGTCAGGCCCTGAGTGAGTGGAAAGCGCGAGCATTCCATTCCGTACAGCTTCAATTCCTCATCCCGCTCCCAAAGACAATGTACGCTAAATACTCCCTTGCTGCGCTCCTCGCGACGACAGCGGGAGTTCTCGCACATCCCGGCGGTCCTAGAATCGCGGGGAGAGGAGGATTCCTTAACCTAGAAGATTTGCAACCCCTCGTCAAGAGAGCGCCGAGTCCGGATGGGAGCTGCGGTGGACCGAATGCGTATACTTGCCCCGAGACTGTGAATAGGTGTTGCTCGCAATATGGTATGGGCAATTCCCCTCTCTCTTCTTGGGATTTTTATATGATTGCCCTGTGAATTGGGCAATTGATTGAACCGACTGATTGATCAACGGTGTTGTGCAGGATGGTGCGGTGATACTGATCTCCATTGTCAAAGTTCGGAGAATTGCCAGGCTGCTTTTGGTGTATGCGTAACCACGCCCGCAGGCGGAGGGGCTGGGCGGTGCGGGAGACAGGCCAGCGGGGCACACTGCCCTGCCGGGCAGTGTTGTTCTGAAGGCGGTTACTGCGGGACCACAAAAGATCATTGCATGTCCCCGTTGTGCCAGCTTGGGTATGGTATCTGTGACGCCGAGTATGTTTCTCCTCTTCTAAATTCAGGCGATTGAGCCGTGCTCTGTGGATGCTAACGTGTTGAATTCAGTACCCTGCCGAGTGGTGGCACAACAGAGCAAGTTGCACGGCCCCATGTGGGGACTGTGCCATACAATATTTTCGACGATTGCATTATACCCGGCGATGTCGCGTTGACTTTCGATGATGGCCCCGGTGTGTATACAAACGGCATGGTCGATCTTCTCGACTCCTTTAATGCAAAAGCCACGTTCTACATTACTGGCATCAACAATGGAAAGGGCGCAATTGACACTACCTCAGCATGGGCGGACGTGATCCGGAAGATGAATGCAAACGGTCACCAAATCGCCTCTCATACCTGGTCGCACGCCGACCTTTCGACCCTTAGCGAGGCCGGGCGCCGTGGTGAGATGATTAAGCTTGAAATGGCTCTTCGTAACATTCTTGGCTTCTTTCCGACATATATGCGCCCGCCTTATTCTTCGTGCAACGCTGCATGCGTAGCTACGATGAGTGCTTTGGGGTACCACATCACGTACTTTGACCTGGACACGGACGATTACAATCAGAACACGCCCCAGAAGATTCAAGTTGCCAAAAATAACTTTGACAATGCGATCAACCCTTCCAATCCTGCTGCTGATGCATTCCTTGCAATTGCTCATGATATCCACCAGACCACCGCACAGAATCTGACCGAACACCTGCTCAGGACTTTACAACAGAAGGGATACAAGGCTGTCACTGTAGGTGAGTGTATGGGGGATCCAAAGGAGAATTGGTATCGTGCTGCCGGCCCAGGGCCTAGCTTTACCTCTGAAATTGTTACTCCTACCTCTCAACCCACCACCTCTACCTCCCAGAGTTCCACCTCCACCACCAGCCCGACCTCTTCCTCTTCAAGCTCTTCAACCACTTCAACCTCTTCGAGCTCTTCAACCACTTCAACCACTTCAACCACTTCAACCACTTCAGCCACTTCAACCACTTCAACCACTTCAACCACTTCAACCACTTCAACCACTTCAACCACTTCAACCTCTTCAACTTCTTCGAGCTCCAGCTCCAGCTCCACCGCTCGCCCCGCCACTCGCTCGACTATCACCACCACCTCCTCCACTTCCACCCCCGCCCCCACCACCACTACCACATCTTCTCCTACCAGCTCCACCCCCAAACCCCCCACATCCACAACCACAACCCCGAGCACCACCACCTCGAAACCCCCAAGCCCAACCAGCTCCTGCGCTTTCTTGGTCGGCAGATGGTGCGCAGAGCCACTCCCAACCTACAACAATGTCGAAGGATGCATGGCAAGTACAAACAAATGCTGGAAGCAAGGCAACTACTGTTGGCTCGCAACCGACTCCATGAGCTGCAGATACTACCTAGGTGTGTGTCTAGCACAAGAAGAGCATTGCACGTCCTGCCAGGAGGCTGGCTCCACGAGCTGCGCATATGTAACACCGGTTTATCCCAAGCCGACGTAGGAGGGGATAGTCATGTAATTTATGATATTGTAATGATGGGTCTGATGTCTTATTTTCTTTCTTTTTTTTAATGTCTTATGGTTTCACGGATCGGATCAAGAATGAGTTGTATGATGAAGATGGGGGTGGGCGAGTCGCGAAGGCGTATAACGTCCTTTTTTTCTCTTTTGAAGTTGCTGATGAATGTTATGTTACGGTGCGATCCGACACACTATTAAGTTAATGATGATGTATGTACCATGAAAGGTTTATTTTACCTGTGGAGTTGAATGAATGGAACGGACAACCGCAAATCTTGGATAGAAGAAAGCCCGACCACATAAAGTGAAAAAATGGCATCATAGCTGGGAAACGGGCGTTACTCGAGTCATCATACGGTAAGGGGATCCCCAGCCTTCCCCCCATTCCGGGGACCTTCTGAAACGCTCAAGTGAGTGATCAAGTGTGATGAGACGTTCTGGGCGCGGAGATCCTACTATTGCGAGCTTGGCCGTCACACCGTTAACTTACACAACTCAACTCGACTCGCCAAACACTCTCGCACCTCTATCGGAGTACGAGTACGAGTAAAAATTTCAACTCGGACAATTTCACTTCATCTGCCAGAGCCCGTGCACATAGCTAAAAAATCAACTCAATTTCCAAAAATCTTTTTCATCCACTGGCATATCAATAGTTTCAAAAAAAAAAAAACAGAGCTCCTACAGGAATTACTGTACTGTACTAGTACTTCCCTGACGCGCAAGTCCTATCTCCGTACAAGTTAACGGGGCATAATAATCCCAACCAATTTCGATTCCCCGGGCTGGTCATCTTAATCTCCCCAAGTTAACGGCCGGTGACTAACCAACTGGCAACGAAGAAGCTCTTATCACTAGGCGGGTTCGCGCATTGTTGACCGACTTGCAGCGGAACGTGCAGGAAAAGAAAAAGAAACAGCACTTTGTGATCTCTCGAGTCGATCACTTGTTGCGCGCAGTGGTGGTGGCTTACTCGTGCCAAGTTGTACGAGTACGCGCCACAACCTTGGCACGAGTCATTGCGGTGGAATATGGTTGTTCCGCGCAACTGGAAAGGCATAGGTCAAGATTGGACGGGAGGTACCGGGGGGGGGGATGAGGGGTGGATGTTTGCGGGGCTACTGTGATTTTGCTTTAGGGTGGAATTCGCCGTATATGGATAGCATAATGCCTGCTAGAGGGGAATGGCGATTTGTTGGCGTTTATTGCGGTAGTGGTAGTGATGTCTTTCGCTCGCATCGGTACTAGTATGGTACTGTATCATTCTTGACTTTTTTTGAGGTCCCCGGAAACGTGCTCATGGCATAGGTTGCGGTAGTTCCCGCCGTGAAGCCATCGATTATGCCGTGAATGAATAACCTATTGTTTTCCATTGTGTAGGCTTTGAAAGACGCTGGGTGTGTGGCCACGACTTCACGGTGCCTTGGATTGACGGGGGGTTTCTGGGATATGGCTCCGGGCAGGAGGGACCTGACCTCGCCGCCAACTTGATCCTAAATCCGGAAAAGCCTCCTCTTGAGAGTGTGAGATAGCATTTCCTCTTGTGAAGTTATTTAAATCGTCAATTAGAACCTGTCTGTGATTCCATTGTTCATCTAAAGTCATGTAGGAAGTCCTCATTGTGGTTGGGGTCAGAATTAAATAAAGTGTTTCTGCAGCATGATTCTAACGTAATTAAGTTCGCCAGCCACTAATACGTGAACGCGTAAACTTTTCATCCATAAGACAGACATACCGGTACTGTAAGGGGTTTTCACTGTGCTCAATTTGACCTTAAAGTAGAATATAACTAGCTAGAGTATTACGGGTTTTAACACAAGTACTTTTGAATCTTTAACTTTCCCATTACTATTCGGTAGCTGGACTTCCAATTTCACTAGTTTAAATAGCCTTTAAGAATCACCACCGGCACCATTTGAGGTTTATACTCAGATAGTCCCACCAGCTGCTGCATGTCCTTGGACACTTCCTTCTTTGCATTCAGCACACTAGCAGGCAACCTTACCAAGCCATATCTACCCATTCTGTACTAATATTTTTTCTTCTTATCTTTATATGTAGACTCGTCAAGCCATAAGATGTAGGATTCTCAACGTGCCTCTGTCATACGACAGAACGGCAAAGCCATGTGGTAGTTGTACCCATAAGCTTAGTGTCATATTGTCAGGTATGGTTCATTGGGAACTGTGGTTGCACCCATAGGTCAGAAATACTCAGCCTTTTCTTTTGAGGTTTCAACAGAATTGAACCAAGTAAAGCTGCAAGCAGCAATATAGTTTCTACTGCATATTTTTGTTGAAAATAGCGGCTTGCTGTACCCATGACCATTAACCATGCCCACGACCACCAATTACTGTAATGTGTTCACAAGATGCTAATCATGCTATCAGTAAAAGGTATGATAGTTGACCGGTAGCCTACTCTAGCAGAGAGCAGATGTGTAACGATCCCTCTTTGGATAGTTAGTGCTTGGCGACGGGGAACAATACTTCTCTTCCTGTCTTCTTCTCTTTGTCTTACGATAGCTCTAGGCCTCTGCCTACGTTACCGATAGTACAAGACCCTTGTCTTCTACCGGGACCGCATATCGTAAGCTTTCTCTAACTCTTCTTCATAAAGCGCCTTCCTTGGCGTAACGATAACGTTGCAATAAAGATAAAGATCATAAAGGTATTTTATATTCGTTAAAGTAATAAGTAGGAAAAGTACTTAGAAGTCAATCTAATTTTTATTTAAACTCGTACTGTCAACACTGGCATATGACGAGCCCCCGCCGGCACAGGGATTCCGCTAACCGGCATACCACTAATCCTAGGCTAACTAAGTCTACGGTCCCGCACCTGCCATCCCCGAGTCATGCCCGCATGGAAACTAATTACAAGACCATCAAACAACCCAGCGCCCTCCCCGGTCCAAGTCCGTAGCCCCTCTGGTATGAAGCCAACCAGCACCAAGCGTAGCCGAAGCCGAGCAAGAGACCGACCCAACCAGGTTCCTTGTCCAACAAAATTAAAACCACTACTACCCGGTCTAAATACCGTCCCGCAACACCTCCACCACAGTAGAAAACCAACAACAAACCAAAATATAAACTACAGGCGACAGAATGGCAGAGAGGAGGTGACCAACATGTCCGCCTCTCGCATCCGCATGCCAGGCCGTCGACCCTATAAACCCTCTTTGCCAAGTGCCTCCGAGGAGCGTAATGGTAAGGAGGACCTGTACCCGCTGCCTGTCCCCCAAAACAAACTCATAAACAAAAGAAATACATAGAGGTGGTGACAGACCGAAAAAGTCAGTGGGGCCTATTTCCCACCCGTGGTGCCTTGCCCCTGCCAGCCATGCCCATTGCCAAACCAAAGAAACCAAACAAACTTCCACAACACCCAGCACGCAGAACTCAAACAAGTCCAACCAGGTGGTCGCAACCCACTATCCGCACAGGTGGCCATCAGTCCAGTAGTCCGCCGGGGAGCTTTACAGCACTCAGCAACTTCGCCCAGCAGCCCAAACCGGTCCGGAAATACTTAATTAGACATCGCCCAACCTGACACATACCCGACCGGTGCTTGCAGATGCCTCTCCCCCCCCAATCAGCCCCCCCCAAGCCCCACACACCAGACGCTACAGAGCCCATCCAGCCCCCCCAGCCCCTCAGACAGATTAACCATCTGACGGCCATAGGACAGCTGATACCCAGCCCCGCCAGGCAGCCATTGATCTTGGCCACACGAACAGAGCCCCAACCCCCAGCACCATATAGCCGAGGGGAGCCCACCAGCCACAGCCGGGAGCCACAAAGGAGGCAGCACCAACACCCGAAGGTGCCGGCACCAGCCACACCATCCAACCCAGCCGAACCGAAATCCAACCGAGTCGGGAAAGAGTAAGCAGAGCCAGCCAAAGCCAGCCCCACAGGTCCGGCAACAGGCACGGACCGAACAACGGGCAAGAGGCATCCCCAACTGACGCGACAAGAAGGGGAAGGGGCAAACGAACAGAAGCAGACAAACGGAAGGTAGGCCCCACTTGCAATGGGTGAAGCCGCCAACCATAGACCACAACCGAACCACCCAGATGCACAGACAACGCGAGTGCCTGGTAGCCAATCGTCCCACACCACCCCAGGCAGCAAAGAAAAACCACTCCAGGGGGTAAGGTTTTTCAGGGTCAAAGCCATCCCCACCATAGCTAGGAGGTGACACCTGACTGAACCACCGTATATGCCGCAAGGACAAAATTTCCAAGGGAAGGGTGATAAACAACATCGTAGGATTCCTGTAACCGGTACGGGTACTTGGTTATTGGTTTTGTTTTGTTTTAAGTATCGTTTGATACTTGGTTTTGTTTTATGTTTTGTTTTAAGTATCGCTTTGATACTTGGTTTGTTTTAAGTATCGTTTGATACTTGGTTTTGTTTTATGGTTTGTTTTAAGTATCGTTTGATACTTGGTTTTGTTTTATGTTTTGTTTTAAGTATCGCTTTGATACTTGGTTTGTTTTAAGTATCGTTTGATACTTGGTTTTGTTTTATGTTTTGTTTTAAGTATCGCTTTGATACTTAAAGAGTTTTACTAAAGAGTATCAATTGATACCCTTGATTAGTTTCGTTCATGCTAGACATGAACAGATTTGTGTATTTAAAGACCGCCTGGTTCTACGATAGAAAAGGCAGACTTCGACAGACAGTATTTCAATATACTTGGTTGAACGGTTACTTCTTTGTTCCTCAGTACGCCCTCGAAGCCTCCTTTAGTTCTCAGCTCTCGCCTCCTCTCTGGAAGAGCAGGCCACCTGCCAACTATTGTATCCATTACCGATAACGTGATTAGCACCTTGCGAACACGTTACATTTTTTTAACCTCAGCAAGTGGTTAAGAACCTGTCCCCGGATTTAGGCCTGATCAACCTATCGATATCCACCTCAGAACGCTAGCGGAGAGAAGCGGCAGAATCACAGCACATTCGGCTTCATCTCAA